TAGACACACCAAAGTACGAATATTACAAATATATTAATTTAACAGGTTCTTAAAAAAAAATGGCACAACACAACAAAACGCAAAACACAACACGATTCACACACAAGTGGCCGAGTCGAAAGCAAAAGGGGCAGTGCCCCAACCGAGTGAAATCACATTGGTAATTAGACACTCTTAGAACATGTATTAAAGTGCAAGAATATACAGTGACCCCAAACAATATTTGAACATAAGCCTCCATTTAAAATGTATTCCTGTCAGATAATACAATGACAGAAAGATGCACAAGCATTTGGGATTAAAATAACGTAAACAATTTACATCATGATAAATTAATGAAAATGTGTTTGTGGTTAGTGGAACATACTGAGTTGTCAGGGATCTGGAAGGAGGACCCAATTGGAGTTTGAGTAACAAGGGTTTATTGAAAAAATATATCACAACAGGAACACAGGAAACAGAGACAGCTAGGGAAGGCCACTGGAACGGCTTCAGACATCAACTGGCAGAATACTTTAGCAGCAGAGGGGGCGGTAATGACTTAATAGCAACCAAAAATGCAAACAAAAGATCAGGACTAAGAGAACTAAATGAATACTAAAATAAAAGCGGAGACAAAAACAGACTAAATCCAAAAACCAAGGAGCACAACAAGAGCATAGAATTACAAGAGACAAGACTAGGGCAAGACTAGAGCACAAGATCAAACAGGCAGGGAGACAGGAACACATACTCAGCCACATCCACAGACAGAAACAAAGATAGTGACAGAGAGGGTAAGAATGACCATGAACTGGCAAATACAAAAAGGGCAAGGAGAACTATAAATAGGGAGGAAGGCACACAAAGAACAGGGGAGCACAATTAAACCAACCAGGGCTAAAAAGAGGGTGTGGTAAAGAGGAAACAAGGAGGAGGGGCTAGAGGAGCACATGGCTGAGAAAAACCATCAACAAAGCCATGTGCTGACACACAAGACAGACACAGGAAACAAACACAAGACAAATGGAGTGTCAGAAGTGGCAGAACCCCGACACTACCCCCCTCCCAACGGACGCCTCCTGGCGTCCAAGCCCAACATCCAGACTTTGGTGACAGAAGCAAGACAAGAACATAAAATTACAAAGTCAGGGTCATGAGCAGGCAGCACTGGGGCTGGAGTGAACTCTGGCAACTCACAGGCTGCAGAAGACTGTACAGGAACATCTTCAGAGGTAATAACAGGGAGAGCAGTAGGCTCGGGGACAGCCTCCACAGGTGGAACATGACTAGCAGGAAAATCTTCTGAGGGACTTGTCAGAAACAGCTGAGAACTGGTCTGGTGTGATCTCAGTGGATACAACTTGACTAGCAGGAACAACCTCTGTGGGCTTGACAAGACAAACAGGAACACATCTCCATGGCCATGACCCAACTGGCAAGGACAACCTCAGAGGACATAACAGGACAGACAGGATCAGTTTATATGGCCATAACTTGACAGGCAAGAACACTGTCTATGGCCATGACCCAACTGGCGGTAACCTCCTGTAGGCATGACAGGAATAGTCTCCATGAACATGACTGGCAGGTACCACTTCGATGGATCTGACATAACAGGCAAGAACCTTCTCTATGGACTTGACATAACCGACAAGAACATCTTCTATGGACATAACATAACAGGAGTAATCTCTGGGGACTTGACACGATTGACAGAATAAGTGACAACATTGATCAGCCAACACAGGGTTAAGTGAAGCTGACTTGATTGACTCAGAGGTGGCTACAATGGCCTGGGTCAACACAGGAATGACTTGACTGCAACTGGGATGGCCACATCAGTCTGGATCAACTCGGAAGTCTGGAACGGATTTGACCGACTTGGATAACTGTAGTGGTCTCCGGAATGATTTAAACAGACTTGCTAGAAGCAAGGATGGCTGCGGCAATCTCAGTGGACTCAGGAGTGTCTGAAGCTGGATTAACAGACACTGTGATGGCCACAGCGGTCTCAGTCGACTCGGACACAACTGGAACATACTTGACTTTAGCAAGGATAGCAACAGCAGTCAGTCAACTCACAGGTGTTTAAAACTGGCTTGACCGATTCAGGAATGGCACCAGCTCAGAAAAATGGTACGGACTAGACTGGATCAGGGATAGCTGCAGCAATCTCAGTCAACTCAGGGATATCTGGAACTGACAAGACAGGATTAATGGAGCAGAATTGACTAGATGAGGAAAAACAAAACAAAAAAAACACTGGAGTAGTGAAGCTCATCTGCTGGGTCCTGACTTTGGCCGGTTCGTAATGTCAGGGATCTGGAAGGAGAACCCAATCGCAGTGCGAGTAACAAGGGTTGATTGACAAAACCAACCGATACAAAAGGGTAGTGAGGTACACAGGTGATACCACAACAGGAACAAAGGAAACAGAGACAGCTAGGGAAGGCCACTGGAACTGCTTCAGACATCAACTGGCAGAATACTTTAGCAGCAGAGGGGGCAGCAAGACCAGGCCAGTGGAGAGAGCAGAGCAAGGCATTATAGAGCTGAGTTAACCATGATACTTGTTAACCATAAACTCTGAAGCACCCCAGATGCCAGGCAAGGGTACCAGTGGGCAGGAACAGGTCAGAACAGGAACTCTAACACCACCACCACCACAACAACAACAACAACAACAAGGCTCAACAGGACCACAAATTACTCCAATGCAGGCAAGAGAATAAACAAAACAAAAGGACTAATAAAAGAAAATAAGTAGCAAATAATGATTAAATTTAAAATATCAACCAAAAATGCAAACAAAAGACCAGGACTAAGATAACTAAATTAATACTAAAATAAAAGCAAAGAGACAAAAACAGACCAAATCCAAAAACAAGGAGCAGGACAAGGGCATAGAATTACAAGAGACAAGACTAGGGCAAGACTAGAGCACACGATCAAACAGACAGGGAGACAGGAACACATACTCAGCCACAGCCACAGACAGAAACAAAGACCATGACAGAGAGGGTAAGAATGACCACAAACCAGCAAATACAAAAAGGCAAGCAGAACTATAAATAGAGAGCAAGGCACACAAGGAACAGGTGAGCACAATTAAACCAACAAGGGCTAACAAGAGGTTGTGGTAAAGAGGAAACCAGGAGGAGGGGCTAGAGGAGCACATGGCTGAGAAAAACTATCAACAAAGCTATGTGCTGACACACAAGACAACATGGACACAGGAAACAAACACAAGACAAATGGAGTGTCAGGGCAGGACCCTGACAGATATTAATGTGTAAGGACCACGCAATTGGCCCAACGGAGGTATCCAGTGGTGGCTGAAGGTTTCCTGTGTGTTCAATCTTTTCAGTGTGCAAAGTTATTAAATTTAAGTTAAATTCTAATCAGACTCCAATTTATTATGACCTCGAATTTATGTTAGAATGCCAATTATTGTTGATCATTCATAGGATAAATTATCTAGACATATGATTAATCTATTTAACTCTTTAATCTTATTGTACTCATTCATTCGGATTCTCATGTTGCTCAGAGATCTCGCATCGGCCGTTAGCAGACCTCACAGTCACATACTCACCAGTCTTGGTTATTAGACAGAGGTAATTGACTAATACTTTAGATGGCCGCTCCTAGGCTTGCTCGTTCTATAAGTACTTTTGTTTAGTCCCCATAGATCTGTACACACTTGAATAAAGCAACATTAGCTCTAGTCAGAGGTCACGACTACTGTTACGATATAAGCCGACCGATATTACTTTCTCTGAAAGTAGCTTTGGTTTGGTCATGCCATGGTTTCCCATGTACACTTATCTAGAGTAACATAACAATAAACAGAGGTTAGACTCACCCTATATAGGTTGGTCGAACAACATCCAGTTGACCTAAACGGAAATTCCCTTTTAGCCCTTACAGTCTAAGAACACTTAAACTAATACCAAGTGTTAGCCGGATCTCTAAAGATCCAGTTTGTGCGCCCTATGCTCCATCTCAACTGGATTTTAGTCCATTACTAACCTGAGGCAAAAATACGGTAACAAGGATACAATGTAATCTACTAGAATCAATAATTTCAGAGTAAACAGAATCAATTCAAATGTAACAATTTATTATACTTATTTACAGTCAGGTAAATATGTATTATGCCAATTGCACAGTCAATTCAGAGATATCAAATCAACACAAGACATCAAATTCTCAAAGATAAATGTAAGAGTAAAAGATACATACCTTACTTCAGGAAAATACATAGTATAGCGTTTGTGTGAAAACTTCACACTACGGGCTCATCTGACTACAGAAGCCCCTGATCTTCTTGCAACATTCCCTTACTCAGTACTCAGACCAAGACAAACATCCTCCAAATGGAGACAGGAACTAACCACTGGAATTTGCATTGATCAAGTCCTAGACGTGGAGAGTTTACACCTTTTGGGGACAGATGGTAATTTGCATGAAAGACACTGGGAAATGGCACACCCTCTACAGTGAGCAACATATCTCTAAACTCTTAGGATCTGTATTACCTTTTAGTCTACTTAGACCATTGTACCAGTTGACTTGAGACAATTCAAATGATTCCAAACATGACTGTGAATATCACTTGCATTCATGTTGAACATTATATTATGCTGTTGACCATTCTGAGTGAGCGGAGTGAGGGGAAGGAAGTGGATGAACAGGATATGTGAGAAAGGATTTTTTCCCACATCTTCTCTCAGTGAGATGTCGAGACGGATGTCTGTATGTTAATACACTGTGTTTGTATATTGTCCGTATCTTAGAATATCAAAGTGTCTGAGGTTCTTCAAGTCTTACAAATGTATGTGCCATATGGGGACGCCTGTGTGAACCTGAGGAAAACTGACTTTATACATCTTCTAAAAATCACCGAAACACCAGCTGACTCAAACACATTTAGACTTTAAAGAGACTTTAAACTTTCAAGTTTCTTGGTTCCAATGACATTCTCTGTTAATATTGCCTCATGCTCTTTATCGCAGCTATTTGCCGGAGCAGCTGTGGTGATGGTTTCTGCTCCAGACCCAACATGTGTACATGTCCTGGTGACCAAATAGCCCTAACCTGTGCCAACAAATCATGTACGTTTTTCCAGATATCTTCATTCAAATAGGTTTCTAAAGAAAAAGAAATACTGTAAGACAATAGAAAAGGTAGTGATGTCCACATGCCATATAAAGTAGTCCTAATCTGTCATAACATGAACCATTTGTGATTATAAAGTCTTTCTGTCTTTCTTTTCTGGTTAAAGCCCAACAGTGCAATATCAGATGTATGAATGGAGGGCTGTGTGAAGATGACCATTGCCAGTGTCCAAAGGGATTTACAGGAAGCTTCTGTGGACAGCGTGAGTTCAAGTTCAAGTTCAGTTTATTTCTAGTGCACGTTTAAGTGTAGAACAAAGCTGACCAAAGTGCTGCAAAACAAACAATAAAATGCCTCAAAAGTATGGCTACGACTTAGCTGTACATTGTGTATCTGATTTATGTCTTACTTCCATCCTCGCTGGACAACCTGCTTCTTCTTCATGTCCTCTGAGACATGGGCTCATCATTGGCTTGTTTTCGAATTCCATAAATTCTCTCTCAAGCCTTACTCGGGTCTCTTCACTGTCACCCAGTCACATTCAAACACTGCTTCAAGATTCCTGTCCTTAATCAAACTCAAAGTAAATCCAAAGACAGCAAATTTACCTGCAATACTAATACACAGGACTTGTTATTTTGATTATTTTGCCCATCTATAAGCCCATCTAGGTGTACAGTCACATCCTGGCTAGGCATTAACTGAACTGAGGTCTCATTGTAGAGTAAAAGCATGTAGAAGACCATAGACTGAGGGTCAGCTGATGTTCACAAAACAGCACAGACTGCTGGAGATTATCAGGGTTCTCCAGAGTTGCAGTTGCTATAAATCATCCAGAGAACCAGCCGTTTCTGTAGGAGTTCAAGGCTTTGCTTATAGACAATTGAGGGCAAGCCAAAGCTCTTGGCTCATCTGTTTGGCACTCAGCTAATGTTAAAAGTCTTTGATTCTGGGTTTAAAGCCTTGGCCTTTCGCCAGTGCTTTGGAATGCAAGATGAGCAACATTAACCTGTATGGACGCTACCTGTGTTAACAGTCATCCTGTAGTAAACCAGCCATAATTCACTGTTCGTTTATCGTGAAGTGTCCTAGACTTTCAGGTTAAGATGATTTAAATGTTTTTCACGTAGGACACATAACACACATGCCCGACCTAATTTATCTTAAAATGTATTCTTTATACAAAGAATTTAGCACACTTCCATTATCAAATCATGCAGAGCAAGTCCAATTTATATTGGCTTTTATCTGAAGAATGGTTGTGATCTATAGTTATTTGATCCTTACAAGGATCAGACTTATGATTTGTCATATTCAGATGCAAATGAAAGGCAGATGCTGTGCCCAAAGCAGTGCAGCTTTTGAAAGCAAATGGTTTTGTTCCAGCTGTCTGTGAAAAGACCTGCTATAACAGTGGACGCTGCATTGGACCAAACCACTGCGCGTGTGTGTACGGCTTCACTGGACCACAGTGTGAGAGAGGTAAGAACAAGCCATCTGTACTGATGTACTATTTCAATGGCAAACATGATTTTGGGTAAAATTAGTTTCCTGAGAATGATGAACTCAATATTTCATTGTAGAGTAAATCTATTAAATTAAACCTCAGTATCTGAATCCCAGACATATCTTTATCTATGAAATAATTCAACTGAAGTGAACTGTGAAGAAATGAACTGCTGCATGTGTCCTGATGATTATAAAGCCTAAGTATCATATGGGAAATTATTCTGAGCAACACTGACCATTTCGATGTGAAGCTTAACCCGCAACTGTGAAACAGTATTCATGCTCAGGAAGCAGAGAAAGAGAAAATCAGGACAAAGATGTTTTTTTTTCAGGATGTATATGAGTTGGCACAGGGGCTGATGGTAAATGAAAGCTCATGGTTGTGTAATGCAGAACATATGTCAAGCTGTTCAGACTACCTGAGTCCTGCTCTCTCCAGACGCCTTCCATGTGCTGTTGCTGCTTCGCTCAGACGCTTTTAAAAAGCATTAAATGAAACATGTTTGTTTGTTCGTTTTGTAGAGAAGAAAGGTTATTCAAATTCTTCTGGGGATGGTAAAACAGTCAGTCTGCAAATTGTAAATACACAAATGTTTTGTGTCCATGCTATAGTTACGCTTCACATTAGCTTATTTGTTATTTGTTCTGGAGAAAGGAACATCAGAAAATTGCTGTTTTTGGATCTAACTTGACTTGAAATACCTTTTGTTTCCAACATCTCCCATGTCCTCCATTTAATTATGACCTATATCTGGCGGACTAATCTTCTCATTAGTTGCTATGGGTATGGAATTATTTCTTGCTTAATGACAAGGGGCCTTACTTTAACGATCTAAGCGCACGGTGCAGGTGCACTAAGGGCGTGTCCGAATCCACTTTTGCTAGTTGAATGACAGGAAAAATGGTCGGCGCACCCGGTGCATGCTCTAAAAGGGTTGTTCATATTCTCTTAATGAGTCATGGGAGTGTTTTGGGCGTAACGTGCAATAAACCAATCAGAGTCTCATCTCCCATTCAAGCCAGTTGTGCTCGAGCCATGGTGGATTCGCTAATTACATGGCAGAATTTGCAAGAGCAAAGACTGAACGCATCTCCAGAGAGAGAATCTACGGGGCATAATAATAATCTTCTACATTGTAATCCTTTCATTTTTAATATTTGGCATGTTTGTGTGCTGCTGTGTGTGTAATAAGCAGAGTGTACGTGCATTGTTCACCCACCTATAGGCGCATATTACTAACGCGCTCTTTAAATAGCAACAACAAAAAAAGATTGCGCCATTGACTTTAGACCAGGTTTCAGTTGGTCAATGGTGCAGGCGTTTTCATTTGCCTCAAAATAGCAACGTGCCTGAACACACCTGGTTTTCAGACCAGCACGCACATGGGCGCAAATGCATTTGCTGTTTAAACAACATGGCGCAGGACGTGAAAATGATAACTGCGTCGGGCTGAAACTAGCAAAAAAACACTTGCGTCACGCCTGGCTCTGCATTGCGCCAAGTGTATGATAGAGCCCAAGGACATCAATTATTTTTAGGGTTATTAAATGAATAATTCACCCAAAAATTTAAATGTGCTGAAAATGTGCTCACCATCTGGCAATCCAAGATCAGGATGAGTTTGTTTCTTCATCAGGTTTGTAGAAATGTAGCATTGCAGCAGTGTCTCAGCAATGGATGCTCTGCAGTGAATGGGTGCCGTCAGAATGAGAGTCCAAACAGCTGATACAAGTAATCCACAGCACTCCAGTCCATCAGTTCACATCTGCCCAAAAGAAACAAATCCATCAAGACGTTTTTAACTAAAATATGAGTCCATAATCCATTATAACGCTTCCTCCAGTGAAAAAGTCTGGTCTGGTCTGAATCAGGAGTGAAATCTGCACAGATCAAGAAGCGTTTACAAGCCAAAACAGCTCTAAAGAAATATGTGACTGTATTTTGATGTGAGCGACAACAGGAGATGGACTTTTTCACTGGAGGAAGCGTTATTATGGATTATGGACGTACTCTGTGAAAAAATAACTTCTACATTTATACTTCCTTTATGCAAATTGGGGTGTAAATTCAGCTGCATTTTCATAAAGCTATTTTTCTCTCTGTCTATGAGCTGAATGTCTGATCATCTTCTGTACAGGAGCAGACACACATGTACAACAGCATTACAGTTTTTCTAGATTCTGTCATTAAGATGCGTCTTTCATCAGAGGACAGTTAATTTTTCCATAAATTAGGAGATTAATGTCCAATATGTCCAATATTCTTACTTGCCTGGGGAATAATGCAATATTTTTTTCAGAATAGATCCTGAATATTGTGCTTTGTAACTTTTGTGGATATGTCAGATTACCGAACAGGGCCATGCTTCATCCGGGTGCACAGCAGGCAGTGTGCAGCTCAGAGCAGTGGCTTTGTGTGCAGTAAGGCGCTGTGCTGTGCCACCGTGGGACAAGTGTGGGGTCACCTCTGTGAGCTGTGCCCTACGCTCAGCTCGTCCTGCAGCAGAGGATTCACGCCAAACAGCCGCACAGGAGCCTGCCAAGGTGAGCACTGATTCTATTGCATTATTAAAATGTGTAACGTGCAGACAGCGGGAGTGTTCAGAGAACCAGTTTGAAAATAAATTTTTGTGGCACAGATATTACACACTTTACCCTAAAGAGTAAGTTGGTCAACAGTATCCATTAACGGTCATGATTCAAGTGCTCAGCACTGTTGTAGTTGAGAACAGTCAAGACCTAAGTGTCCACATGCTCCATTACAAGAAAAATATGGCTTGAACTCTGACTCAAGACTTTTGACCTTTTCACCAGTGTCTTGAATTTAATGTCAACATTAGCTAGCAGCCAGTGTGGCGACAAAGAGAGGGGTAAAGTGAAATCTCCTAGGCTCAAGATGTTGTTCAGCATTCATATGCATGACTGCATGGTCTGTGAAGTTAAGCAGGTCACCAAATTAAAGGCATATTTAGATGGTGTTCTTTCATCCACGCCACTGTGATTATCAGGGCTGCATGTCATTGGTATAAAGTCCATGTGCCGAGATGACTGGTCTCAGTCATGTTGTGTATATGCAAAGGAGGAGGGGTATATTTCAGGTTGCTCCAATCAATTTACATATAAAACCTATTGGTTCATATAAAAGTAATTTGTTAAAGAAGCTGACTTCACACTGTATGCATGTGCAGCACTGGAGGTGAGCTTACAGAAAGATGTTTTTTCTCACCATTATTTCACGGTACTCTCTTTTTTAATGTCATCACATTAAAAGTGCCGCTGCTGAAGAGATACATATTTTTATTCTGGGATCATTCTGGGGTGGCAGATAGGGTGGCAATGCTTGTTCTTGCCATGCAACCCCGGTAGATCCGTCCCTGAGTGTAGTAGAGCAAAGGCTGAGTGCAAGTTTCAGCCTCGTTACTGCTGTTTCTATGATACCTAGAGCTTCTGTAACAGCAGCTGCAGTGATGTTGTTGTAAAGAACTGCTGTAATTTGTGTGAAAGCAAGGCTTCCTTTACCATCATATTGAGCATCCCAGGTGAAAAAAGTACACTTTCATAATGTACTTAATGTGCTCTATTTCCACGCACTAATTTTGTACTTAATATATTAATAATTCTTCTTTAGTACTTCTTAAGATAATCTTAAGACCATCTAAGTTTACTCAACTGTGCTATTTTGAGACACCATGAATATGAACTAAAATGTGCTTTTAACATACTATCTCTGTACTAAAAAATTTATTTAGTTACCACTTGTAGTAAACTTGAACCCATCTTTGTATGAAAGATGGGTTCAAGTGGTACCTAAATACATTTTTTAAATACAATTTTAGTTCATATTCAGGGTGTCCCAAAATAGCACAGTTGAGTACACTTAGATGGTCTTAAGATTATCTTAAGAAGTACTAAAGAATAATTAATATATTAAGTACCAATCACCAGGGATTGCAGTTTCTAGACCTGAATTGTTAAATTCCAGCGAATTTCTGCAAATTAGGCTACATCAATACACCAGTAAGTGTGACTGTCTTTGAGTCACTGAATCATTCACTGATTTATTCTGGAACATAAACAAATTACTGTCTTCATGAGTCTGAACGTAGTGTTTACATGAACGCTAAATAAAGCGATCAGGTTGATTTGCACGTTTATATGCCACAAGCTTCAATATCGGATTTGATCTTTTGACATGCACATACTGCACGAATATACAGAGTTTCCTCTTTGCACATACTATTCTCCAGCCATTGCTTCTTTTCTTTGTTTTAAAGAGCAGACTTAATATTTATCTATTTCGGGTCCAAATTAGGAGACTGTGCACATGATGCTTTGAGCTGTGCTGCTTTAAAGGGGTCATGAACTGGCTTTTTTATTATTTTATACTGTTGTCTGAGGTCCACTTACGACGTTCGCGTGGTTTTTATATTCAAAAACATCAACATCAATAAGTAATAGGCTACTTTCTACCCTGGTTTTGAGGGTGCTCGAGAAACGCTGGTTTTTATGGCCATGCTTCATTGAAGACTTGGAAGTAAACGCCCACTGCTATGATTGGATAACAGTTTTGCATAGTAAACTAACTTTCTGTGTGTCTGTTTGACAAGCTACGTCCTTCATAGCTGGAGCCTTCTGTGACTTTGGTTAGACACGTACACATAATCAAGCAATCTCTAACAAAGCAATAGTGACACATAATACAAATATTTTTTACTCATGTAAGTGTGCTGCACCATTCCTGTCAGCACAGCATTGCTTTTTAATCTCAGTCTCTCTGCAAATCCAGTGTCGACCTGTGTCTTGTTTACAAAGGAATCCGTGGCGAAATGAAGTGAACAAACGCTCAATGTTTTACTCACATGAGCTGGAACTTCAGCTTTGGAAGTTTGGAAGTTCAACCACGCATTCCTAATACTTGAATCCGAAGGAAGGTTATGCAGCGACTGTGTTCTTCCACAACCAGGCACGGCACAATATTCTGTGATCTTCAACGGCATGTTTATTGCTTGGTTGCTCAATCCAGTTTAGCACCACTTATGTTATTTCCCTACTATTGCTGCGTCCCAATGTGTCTACTTATACTACGCCCTTAAAGTATGTACTGTTTTGGTGAGGAAAAAGTACACACTTTTGAGTGTGTAGTAGAAGAGTAGGCATGCTTTGGGACAAACTATAACATCATACAATTGCATCTTTTTCAACGGTCCACTCTGTCGCATAATTACACGCATCCTGTCACTGTAAACTGACCTGTCAATCATCCTTCACATTTCATTTCATTTAACTTCCTACCGTATTGGAGAGAAATTTTGATCTGCCAGCCACGGGTCTTTATGCAGAGAGCTCTGCTCATATTTTCTGCATAATGATGCATTTAAAAGTGAATGGCCAAATGGATGTTTATAAAAGTTCACATTGTTGTTGCAGATGAAATATCCTAACACAGATAACATTAAATAAAAAATGTTAACAGGTTAAATGTTGATTATTAGTAACTCAAACCCCTTTATCTAAACCTCTCTACTTAACCATCGGTCGCGCACATCCGCCATGTTTGTAGTTTTTTAACATCTTTTATTCGTGTTTTTAGTTTTGAACTAAACCATTCGTCAAAGCGCAATGGATTGTGGGTAGTATTAGCCATCAGAGTGTGCACGGATCCACACTTCAGAAATCTACCTGAAGCAGTACACCATCCGGGGACTTCTGGCACACTCTTTTCAACATACTATGCTTTGGGACACATTAATTCTAATCTCACATATTATTTAGGATGGATGGCATGAACATTGGGACGCAGGGCTTGTCATGCGTGAATCAGTGGGCGGGGCTACAGAATTGGGCGTTGATATTCGTCAGTGGAGGTGGTGTTTAACCTATCTATTACGTCATATATAGGCACATTCCAGGATCTGGCGTTCGCTGGGCCTGCTCTTAATAAAAGCTTTTATTTCAGTAACAAGGACGTTTTCAGTTCTGAAACTTACAGGATATTCTTTTAGTACGATGACCTCTTATATATCAAAAGCTCAAGTAAATGTTGATTCCACAATTCATGACCCCTTTAAATAATCAAGCAGTAAAATAGCCAAAACAAGACATCTGTGGATGAGAGTATAAAGTGAGGACTGATGGGAAGGAGAATTTTAGAATAACATGACAGTAATTTATGACACTTCATTCTACAAAAACAACGTCATAGCACATGCGCAGTAATTTCCAGTTTCGGTTTTCAATCCAATCAAATGTTTACCTGTTCTCTCGATCGGATTAGAAAAGGTCTACACCACCCCTTCTAATCCAATCAAAATTTCATTCAGATTGAGCACAGTTGGATTGATTAAAGTGTTTACATGAAGGCTTTTCAGTCCGATTGAGCCATCAGTCCGATTACTAACAGATTATTTGCTTGCATATAAACATAGCTACTGAATAATTTACTCTTCCAGTTGGTTCAAAAGCACTGATTCATGCAGGAAGGAAACATCACTGCTGAGTGTTACTGAGAGAGGTGTAATGTAACTGTTCCACTGATTATTTGGCGGTTATTCTTCATATTGTGATCACCGTGAGATTATTTGAATGTGTTTTTAGGTACCAGATGTTACACTCCTTCCACTGTAGTATCTATTGATGTTGGATTTACCTGCCTTATTGCATTATTTACATTATTAATGTAAACTCTTTTAAAAAGAACCGTGGCCGGTTGTTTTTATGATCATTCAGTCAGTAAGTCACTCCTAGACTCTGGCTTGCCATTTGCAGGCTCTTTTTTGACACTTCAAAAGAAAGTGATTTAAGGGAATTGAAGGTGCTTTCAGTGTGTGATGTTTTCTCTTTGGCCAGATGTTGATGAATGTAAGGTTGTGCCTGACCTGTGTAAAGGAGGAAAGTGCATCAACACTGTGGGCTCATATCAGTGCCAGTGTGCCGTGGGTTTCCAGCAGCACACGAGTTCGCTGATGTGTGAGGGTAAGTAACATACTGTTAGCGTGTTTGGTCTATATCAGTGTCCATGCCAGGAAAAGAATGATAGCATACATAATGAAACGAGAGACTGCATAAATTCCCAACAATATAGAATTTATAAAGCCTCACTGTGATTGTTTGTTCATGACCTACAGATAATAACACAGGATGTGACAGGTGTTTTATGTCTAGGTTATAATTGAGCTTCTGGAGAAATGGCTCTGTCTGAACATACACATTCTAGCTGATGCCTTTCATTAGATACACTCAACTCATTTACAGCTGTCCACTGTATTTTCTTTTCCCCTGCCATGCAGGAGCAATAAACCTACTTGATCTAATAAAAGTAAATTGTATTTGATTGTGTGAAATCTCTCAGATGTGGATGAATGCTCCACCGTCCAGCGTGTGTGTGATGGAGGACGCTGCATTAATTCAGCGGGCAGTTTCTCCTGTGAGTGTCCTTCTGGATACTTGCCATCTGCAAACCGGACGCGCCGCCTCGGTGAGTTGGACAGCAGTTGACTCTTGTATATGTGTATAAGCGTTGACTGGACTGTTGCCAGCTTTAACAGTCTAAAGACTTTGAAACATTGTAATGATTATGGTGTTTATGTGTATGCTCTTTGTATAGCGTCACGCAGCACTTGTTGAGGCATGTGGTGAATTCTGTGTTCAGACAGACATCACAACGTTTCAGACCTCAACCTATAATTAGACGTACATCTTTCCAGATAGAAAGTACCCAAAGAGCCTGTTCATTCATGCCCAATTCATGAGTAGGACTGAACTGACCAAGCACCCCATGCTTGTGTGTATTTAAGAGTGTATCCACAATCTTAAAAATGAGGGTCTATCTATCTATCTATCTGTCTATCTATATATCTATCTGTCTACCTATCTATCTATCTATCTATCTATCTATCTATCTATCTATCTGTCTGTATGTCTGTCCACAATCTTAAAAATGAGGGTCTATCTATCTATCTATCTGTCTATCTATATATCTATCTGTCTACCTATCTATCTATCTATCTATCTATCTATCTATCTATCTATCTATCTATCTATCTATCTATCTATCTATCTATCTATCTATCTGTCTGTATGTCTGTCTGTCTATCTATTTTTGGACTAAATGACTTTCTCTCATTGTACATAGGTGTGTGTTTGTTTGTATATTTCAGAGCAGCACACAGGTGTCTGTTTTGCATCTGTTGAGAATGGACGCTGTGCTCAGAAAATCAGCGGACGCTTCAGTAAAATCCAGTGCTGCTGTGACCGTGGCCACTGCTGGAGTCAGAGCACAGCTCATGAAATGTGTCCCGTACCAGGATCAGGTGATCAATACACTCCTTAAACAGTTCACACCAAGCATATTCTGCTGTTTATGTTTGTTATTATTTTATTATTTCAGGTTTATTTATTGTCAATAAACATGTGGCTAAGGCTTCAAAATGGCATTGCTTTCGAGGTGTACATTTGATTAGTAACAGAGAAGCAGTGAGACAGGAAGTCTTTTTTTTATATAAAAAAAAATCTAAATACCCTCTGTGCTATACTGAAAATTGCCTGTCTGGTGTGAATAAGTCTGAGCACAACTCTCGGATGACAGTACTTGTGTTCCTGGTGTAGAGTCCAAATCCAGGCTGCTTGTCTGATTGGAAGCTGGGGAACCCTGCCTGGGTGAATCAAAACATACCAGCAGTTGGTCGGACTTGGGCACATAACCTGGTCTAGGGTGAAGAACTGCTTTAACAGTACCCGGAGCAAATTCTAGGCAGAAACTTTCCTGAAACAGTATATCAGGCACACACTGAAGTGATGTGGGCCATTTCCCCCTGGAGGGACCTGCCCTCAGAGGCTTGAATGACCAGCATCAAGACATTTTTCCTGAAGCCTTCCTTGATAGAATGACAGTCTTCAGATCTGCCTTCTCCTGAGGGGGCTTCGGGTGAGACATTTATGTTTCAAGCGAGAGTGCTGTCTTATCCTCCAGACTCGTTGTTTGTGGTGAGGGTATGAGAAACAACACTCTCTTTTTGTTGTTTCCAGTGGGAGGAGCTGGGAGTTGATGGCTGGGACCTGGGTCTTAGAGGAATAAACCTCTGGAATGCTGCTGCTTGTCTCATACCCTTGCTCTTTCATCCCCACAACAGAGGAGTAATTCAAGATTGTGGGGCTGGAAATAAATGACAAGAATTGTCTATAATGATAGGCCCCCGATGCAGAGGTTGTGTGCTCGTCTAGCTTGCTTTTACACCACACATTCTGCTTTTCGGCCAACCAGTCGATTTTTAACTTGACCATGGCACGAGTCCTCATAAACATAGAAGAGAGGTGGCGAATCCTCAAAATCCCCTGCCTCCATGCTGAGAACATCCAGCTCATGAGAGCTGGATAAAGCCAAGACTGGACATCCACTCGGGGTGGAAGAAGCTGCAGAGCAGGCATCCGACTCCTGAGGGAAAGCATTGGAGCCTGGGTCCATCTCATGCTTCTCTGCAAGCTCCATCTGTGACCCCCATGATCTGAGCTGGCACAATGCTTCGGCAGACGTGGGACCTGAATCACAAAGGGCACAAGACTGACCAAGCTCCTCAAAGATGGCCAGGCAGGAGAGGAGTGTTCTCAGCACGCCCTGCTCCCAAGCAGACTACACACAGCTCATGTGTGTCCTCACCCATAATGTATTGAGGGCAGGGAGGCACACGATCAAAGCTGCTTGTTCGTCATTATACTTTCTAAAAACATTTTTGGCTCTACAGCACAGACAACACCAAATAAGAGACAGAATGTTATACAGAGTGCTTGCTGAAGACACAGAAGCTTTGTTCTGGGTGTCTTTTATAGCTTCCGCAATAAACTAATAAATAAAAATAGTTATTGTTGGACATTAAATGTAGGTTTAAAATTCTGCAGTCACCATTTTGGTTGCAATTTCCCTGAACTAAAAGCCCATGTTGCTTCTCAGCCTGTCACTGGACTCATCAAAGCAAACAAAGTTGCTTTGCAATGATTTGTATCGTGAAAAGCGCTGTACAAATAAACTTGACTTGATTTGACTTGACTGTTAGACTGCTAGTATAGTCAGCTGTGATAGTTTGGCTGTGTCTGTCTTTTCTGTTCCCTACAGATGAATACTTCAGGATCTGTCTGGTGGGCTCTGCTCTGAGTGGGTTTAGTGAAGAGGATCCTGACCTGCACCCTCAACACCGCAGCGGCTTCAGACCTACCTCTAATGACCGGATACTTCGCCCACCTAATGACAGTGGACGCATCACACCTCAGATTCATCAAATCCCAAGGAATGGTAATGGATTTAAACCACAACGACCTGTTGTCGGTGAGCAAATCCTTATGACCATGAATAAGTGCTCTCGAGCTGCTTTTAAGGCTCTGATGAGTTTTTGTTTTATTTGCAGTTCGTATGAATGAGACTGTGAACAGGTGTCGTCTGTTTCCTAATCTGTGTCTGAATGGACACTGTGTACCCTTGGGGTCTGACTACCGCTGTGACTGTAACACCGGATACAGAGAGGACAACAGAGGAGAGTGTTCAGGTCATTTCACCTCAACATTACAGGCTATCTGTCTACCAAAAGAATAACAAATGACCCAGAATTTGACCTGACATTTCAAAAGGCATATTAGAAAATTAACCCACAGAAACCTGCCTAAAGCAATGACTTTCACTGATTGCTGTGAGTGTTGTGTGTTTTGTGTGCAGATGTAGATGAGTGTGTGTTTGAGCCCTGCATTAATGGAAACTGTATCAACACTGCTGGTTCCTACTACTGCAGATGCCACTCAGGCTTTCTCAGGTTTCCAGGCAAACAGGCCTGCACTGGTGAGAATGAACACACAATTCACACTGGTGTATATTTTAGTTTTGTCAGTAGTGTCTTATACAAATATATGAAGAAATTAAATAGCACGATTTTGTTTTGTTTTGTTTTCTTTTTACATTTCAAATGTATATTTTAGAATGATTTGTAAAACATAAACATAAATGTCAATTTTGTTTTATGTGGAAAACATTCCTAAGTGGCTAAAATTAGAATAAAGTGGACAGGTTAGTAGAAACACGTGCAAATTAGTAGAACAGAGTCATTTAAACTGTGATAAGACTTTACATTTTTATGCACACCTCTATGAAGCATCTATAGAAGCATGCAAGTCCTCCACAGTTTCGCAACTCCTGCTTCTGAGACTTTAAAGAGATGCTTACGCCTGTCACTGCAGTGATCACACTAGCGATGCACCATCACAGGCCCCCATAGACATCAAGACGTGGCATTCCCCATATAGTGCATGTCATAGAATCCACTACAAGAGAAAAGAGCACATGAAAATGAGTGAAATAGTTGGTAATGGGTGTAAATATTGTGTGCCAGAAAGGGCCGTGAAGCTGTCGCAGAAACGCCATGCACAATTGAATTCAACAAAACTCTTAACAGTGTTGCATGTTTTTCATTGCAGGGTATTATGGGACTGAATGAGCACATAATCTCCATAATGGTTTTGATAATATTTTTGGTGAATAGTTTGGCTAGAATATGGTGAAGCTGTATTCTCTACTGTGATATTGTTTTGTAGACGTTGACGAATGTCTTCAGAATGGGGTGCTGTGTAAGAATGGCCGCTGCCTCAACACAGAAGGCAGTTTTCAGTGCATCTGTAATGCGGGATTCAAGCTCACACCTGATGGGAGAAACTGCATAGGTAAGACATTATCCAGAAGACGGTCGACCTTTATCAATTCATAGTAGTTACCTGTATTTTACACACACATACAAAATACTTTTTGCTGAGCTAAAGATGATCACTGGTAAACTGAAGCGCTCTTTTAACTTTACCAAACGCATTCTATATGAGATACATCAGATATACATCAAATAAACACAATATTACAACGTACAATTGCACAAAAGGCTGCAAACGAACAGCGCGCATCTGAAGTGTCTCTGAAGGAAATAATGCATTATTTATCGGCTTTAAGATATCGGCCAAATTTTCTTATCAGGCCGATACCGATAACAGAAAAAATGAGCCGATATGGGCCGATACCGATATGGTGGCCGATATATCGTGCATCCCTAACTTTTTTCTATAATCCAGTGATTACATTAGGATCAAATGAACATAATGTGAATAACATCTCAGGGTGGGCAGTTATAAAGAATTGTGATGTGAAGACCTTGAAGAGGGTGATTTCTCAATTATCTACATTAGTTCCTACAGTAAGAATGTATGATTACAAGAGTTTCCTTAATTCTCAATCAGATCACGATGAATGTGCCGGCACAAACATGTGTCTTAACGGCATGTGCATTAATGAAGACGGCAGCTTTAAATGTGTGTGTAAACCTGGATTCACCCTCAACTCCAGCGGACGCTACTGTACAGGTGAACTCTTTTTCCCCTCTTCTAAAGATGACATCTCTTTAAAAATTACATCTGTTGGAAGTTATAAGATATGCATTATGCTTGAAGTAAAATATTTATGTGTGTGTGTGCGTGTGTTTCTCACACAGATATGGATGAGTGCCGGAGCCCAGGTGTGTGTATGAACGGACGGTGTGTAAACACACAGGGCTCTTTCAGTTGTGAGTGTTTTGCAGGTCTTACTGTAGGAATAGATGGGCGCACATGTGTAGGTAAGAGCACACTTGCATGCACAATCATGTATTTGTACACTTATTCCCTGATTTATTAAATTCCCAAATAAAGTGTACTAATTTGCTTGAGCGGGCAGTCTGTCTATAAGACTGCATGTGCTCTTGGTGGGACAATATGCTAATTCACTAGGAATAATTATGCAAACAGCTCCACGTGCATGTTAAGTTGAACACACCCTGCAAAAGTATTAGGTTATCTGCGGGTCCTTAAAAAGTCTTACATTTTGTTTGATCAAATTAAGGCCATAAAAAGTCTTAAATGATACAAGAAATCTTAATTATCATTTCAAGAGGTCCTAAATTTAGGGATGGAAAGACCAGTATTGCGATATGGCTGAATGTGATGATTAAACTTCAAAAGGCCATGGTTTCATTGAATAAATATGAGTGCTGCACATTTCAAAGTCAGCTGCTGTGCTGTACAGCCATTACCATGGAAACTGCTATATTTCTGCCATTACGACAGCGCCATCTGCTGGCAGAGGATGAATGTGCATTTTTAGTAAGCCCTTCTGCTGTTTTTGTTCAGACCACTGCGAAAATCCACCCATATTTTCACGCAGCAAACACTCAGTTGTAAATGTGAACCGGTGGATCAACAAGAAACTAATGCATTATAAAAATCTAAACAATTAAGACACTAACATATATTTATATATTATAAAATTAATACAATATTATTGATAATGTTTTTAATTAATGTGATTGATACTTTTGACTCTTATAAAAATGATTTTGTGAAAACCTGTATCTGAACTGTAAATCATGCTTTGTTTTTACAATCATTTTACGGTTTAATGTGTTACCATAGACATTTCCCTACCCTGCTTATATGGTTTTAATTTTATTAAAAAGGTCTTAAATTTGATTTAATAAATCCTGCATATATATTGAAGGAGTCTTATTTGTGAGCTAATTGTAGCAAATGTTCCAAAACAAATCACATGCATTTCTCACTAATTAAGAGTTAATCAATAATGCCATTGTCACACTCTTGTTTAAGAAAGGCGCACGAAGACGAAGGTAAACCAAATAACATTTAATAGTAATCCAAGATGATGAAGATTCATACAAAACACAGGGTAACACAAGCAGCATACACAACTAATAACAGGCCAGGACTCTTGGAAGTACTTATACAAAAGCAAGAGAGGGATTAATGACTAAATTAACAGGACACAGGTGAACTGAATGAACAAATCAAGGGAACTAAGGAAAACTAGGCCAAACTCAAAATGGGCATGAAGACAAAAACTAAATGAAAACACAAGAAGTCCATAACTGTGACAGCCATGAATAGTTGTTATTTTAAGTCAAATAGAATAAAATCTACAGTAAATCAAATCAATATCTGATGTGACCACCTTTAAAACAGCTTTTTCCCAGGAATACCCTTGCGCACAGTTTTTGAGGTAGTGTGCTCCAGAATCTTTAGTCTCAGTCTCTTTATACAGTCCCAGATGATGATGAGATCAGTCGTTCTGTTGCAGGACTCCTTGTTCATACTAAAATCTCTCTGGATTATTACAAAATTTGCACTGAGGCAAATAAGGAATATTTGGAAGTTAAAAACTGACGTTTCCTACTGACGCACTAAAGCAAAACATAGAAATAACGGTCTTAAAAACAATTGTTTCTGTGAAACATTGATTTTAGTGCAGCACAGTATTTATTCCTAATATTTCATGTTATTACTGTATAATAGATATTTTACTAGATCTCAATTCATTGCCAGTTCGTTTATCTTTGTAAATGTATACTTTCATGTGATTTATATTTTTTTGTGTTTATCCTGTCCTTACTTTCTTTTTTTTTCTATCTGACACCAAGTCTTGGATTTGATTAGAACAAGAAGAAAACTTACTTCAATAGAACTAGAAAAACATTATATGATAAGCAGCAACATTTACCTCAAAAAAGGCGTAACACACCTCACAATAATTTCTGCACAGGTTTACTCTCTACTCTTTAAAGGTTTAGATCTTTGAAGGTTTGTAATTTGCCTTTGTGGACCACGGACAGTGGTTTTGGGGTTTCTGTAGCAGTGTGTTATAGTTTTGACTGTATTCCTCACATATTTCTGTTGCAGACACACACATGCACAGCACCTGTTTTGGGGTTGTAAAAAGAGGCTTGTGTGGGCGGCCCTTTCAGCGATCTCTCACCAAGTCACAGTGCTGCTGTGCCAACCCTGACTATGGCTTTGGTCAGCCGTGTCGTCCCTGCCCTGGCAAAAACTCAGGTACACTCTGCTCATTACCATGCTGTTTGATGTTTATATTTTTAAACAACTTGCATAACTGTAATTACACACACACACATATATATATATATATATATATATATATATATATATATATATATATATATATATATATATATATAAAATCAGCTAGTTGCCAAGGCAGCATTGCTTATTTTCATTTGATTTATTTATGTAGTACATTTCATACACAATCGTAATTCAAAGTGCTTTATATTTTAAAATAATCATAACATAAATGCATTAGAAATACAAATGGCATGCATAAGAAATAATAATCACAATAAAAGCAAAGAATAAAAAATTCAAATGATTTAAAATGTATTAAAACATTGAAGAAGAAAAGAAAAGGATGCATAAATAAAAAGCATTGCAATCAGTTTGGACGTAGCACTGTGCTCATTCAGTAAATGTACAGCTAAACAGATGAGTTTTGAGTCTAGATTTAAATATGCTACTGATTTAGCACATCTGATCTCTTCTGGAAGCTGGTTCTAGCTGATGTCTCTTTTACCTGAATATTTAATGAAGATTATGATCCACTGTTCCTGCCATATATATTGTAGCTGCTTTTATTCTAACAGTATATATTTGAGTTGTCCTCATACACTCATTGAGGTTCTCAGTGGAGTGAAGTTTATTCAAATGATCCCATCATCAGTGTTAGTCTGATTAAACTAAATCTGTTAATGATGCTATAATTTCACACAGATATGAGGTTTTGTACACTGCTGCCATGTGCTGTTCTCTCGCTATTCTAGTTGAGTTTCAGGCCTTGTGTGCAAGCGGTGTTGGATTTTCTGCTGATGGCAAAGGTAAGTCTGATATCATGCTTCATGTTTTATTCTGCAGATAGTGATATGCTAAAGGCTGGAACACATTAAATTATTTTGATGCTGATTTGCAGTCCGCATGAGTGAACGCTAGCTGCTGAAGTTCAGAGCCAGTGTGTAGACTTTGGGCTGTCAGAGTTGACAGACTGCACAGAAAATTACATAGTGCATGATGGGTAAAAATTATGATTCAGATTATAATTCTATCCAATTCTAAGAAAGACCATAAAAACATTAATAACACACACACACACACACATATATAAAGCATTGCAATCAGTTTGGACGTAGCACTGTGCTCATTCAGTAAATGTACAGCTAAACAGATGAGTTTTGAGTCTAGATTTAAATATGCTACTGATTTAGCACATCTGATCTCTTCTGGAAGCTGGTTCTAGCTGAGGGTGGCATAATAGCTGAAAGCAGACTCCCCTTATTTTGATTGAAACCTTGGTATTTCTGTCAGGGGTGGTAAAGGACGAGGAATCAGTTGCAGGGATAACAAGGATTTTATTGGGATTCAAAAGATATATATATATATAAAATCAGCTAGTTGCCAAGGCAGCATTGCTTATTTTCATTTGATTTATTTATGTAGTACATTTCATACACAATCGTAATTCAAAGTGCTTTATATTTTAAAATAATCATAACATAAATGCATTAGAAATACAAATGGCATGCATAAGAAATAATAATCACAATAAAAGCAAAGAATAAAAAATTCAAATGATTTAAAATGTATTAAAACATTGAAGAAGAAAAGAAAAGGATGCATAAATAAAAAGCATTGCAATCAGTTTGGACGTAGCACTGTGCTCATTCAGTAAATGTACAGCTAAACAGATGAGTTTTGAGTCTAGATTTAAAATGGCTACTGATTTAGCACATCTGATCTCTTCTGGAAGCTGGTTCTAGCTGCGGGTGGCATAATAGCTGAAAGCAGACTCCCCTTATTTTGATTGAAACCTTGGTATTTCTGTCAGGGGTGGTAAAGGACGAGGAATCAGTTGCAGGGATAACAAGGATTTTATTGGGATTCAAAAGAAACAGGAACGAAGCTACTGTCCGAGAGGGTAATCTGGAGAGATCCCAACCAGGTCCGGGGAAGAGAAAGTCAGCTCAACAGCAGGTATCTAGGAAAAGGGGGTTTCCAGAGCAAATGGCCGCGAGGAACGGTCCACGAGCAACGAGACAGTCCAGCTCTCCAAATAACTCCAGGCACCAGAGAATGGCGATGGTGGGAGGGAGAGGGAGAGGAACTCCAGGAGGGAGCAGGGAACGCTGGGCAGCGAGAGGAAGGAGTCAGGAGGCAGACAGAAGGGAGTCCAGCAGCCAGGGCAGCCAGGGGGCTGGAGAGGGCAGAGGAGAAGGGAAAAACGAACACAAACTAAACGGCTGGAGCCAAAACTAGGAACTAGAAGGAACTGGGCAAGATCAAAAGAAAACCCCTAATATCAAAAGTAAAATAAAAGCTAAGAAAACTAGGCAAGACTAGGCTAGACAAAACAGGAAACAGGATAACAGTCAACAGCGACAAGAGCCAGGTTAACTCAGCAGAGCAGAGATTTCGATCTGGCACAGGACAGAAAACAAGAGGGGAATTTAAGGACGACTGATGATCAGAAACAGGTGTTACCCCTAACGAGATAAGGTAACGAGAGGGGCGGGGGAACAATAGACAATAGAGCACATGGCAAACATAATTACCAACTGACAGCCATGTGCTCCAGACAGACCAGGACACAACATAAACAAACCCAGATCAGACCGGAGCCTTGACAATTTCTAACTGACTTGATCCTAATGATCTGAGTCCTCTGTTAGGCTTATATTCAGTGAGCATATCTGCAATGTATTGAGGTCCTAGGCCATTGAGTTATTTATAAATGAGTAATAGCAGTTTAAAATAAATTAAAGAGTGTGGTCCAAACATGCAGGGTCAAACACCAGCAAACAATGATGGCCAAGGGCAAGACAAACGAGTAATCCAGATAACAGGCACTGGTCAGGGCAATGGTGGCAAATGATCAAAAACCAGGCAAACAGTCCAAAGTCAAAAAACACAGGCAAGGCAAGGAACAAAGCAAGGCAAGGTGAAACAGGGATAAATGATCAGTAATGTCCGAAGTAGCAAAACAAGACTCCGCAAAGTGTGTGTGTGCAGTTATATAGTCCCACGTATTGGTAAAAGGTGTGACAGTAATCAGTTCCTAAAGCAGGGATTGTGGGAAAGGGTGTCTGGCAGGATACGGAAATAGAGACCTCTGGTGGTGAGCGGGAGGAATGACAGGGAAGGGATTCATAACAGAACCCCCCCTCTCGAAGGAGCAGCTTCCAGATGCTCCACAAACACAGTCCAGAAGGGTGGATGGAGGGCCAGGTCCATGTAGAGGTGGACGACCTGGAGACTGAGGCAGAGTCGGCAGAACAGGAAGCCAGGGCAGAGCCAGCAAAGCAGAAGACAATCAGAGCGAAGCTGGCAAAGCAGAAGACCATCAGGGCAGAGCCTGCAAAGCAGAAGACCATCAGAGCGGAGCCGGCAAAGCAGAAGACCATCAGGGCAGAGCCGGCAAAGCATGTCTTCAAATGCAACATTCACGATGACCGGGAACACAGGAGTGGCATCCATGATGGCTGAAGACTGTAGAATGACATCCATGATGACTAGAGTCTCTGGGCTGGCGGCCATCATGAAAAGAAACTCTGGAGTGGCGGCCATGTCATGACAAGGCTCTGGAGAGGCGGCCATTTCATGACAAGACTATGGAATGTCAGTCATGATGGGATGAGTCTCTGGAGTGGCATCCGCAACATGAAGATGCTCTGGTGTGGCAGCCATTGGGCTTGGGAATGCTGAGAGTATCGGGCTTGAGATAACCAGACTAGTAATACAAGATGGGCCAAGCTGCACAGTCGCCGGAGCTTGAGAGTGTTGGCCCCCACTCAAAAAATTATTTAGAATTTAGGTTTTAGAGTCTTCCATTTATCCCACAGTAACGGGGAACCAATTAACAAAAGTGCATAATCCAAAAATTCACAGAGCGACCCTCGAGGACCATCTCAAATGAGTTTTGATTTTAAGTTAATTTAGTTCAAAACAGAAAAAAAAATCAATGACAGCAAAGTCCGGGAGATTAGAGTGATATGAAATGTCTAGAAAGTCCTTGATGTGGTCTCGAGGGAACACATTCATCACTTCAGTTTTCTCTTTGTATAACTGATGAAAGTTTCGGCACATCCAGCTGTTAATTTCATCAAAGCATTGGCAGAGCGAGTCAATAGGGCTGAAGTCATTAGCTGATAAAGGCTAGGTAAATCTGGGCATCGTCTCAATAAAATTAAAACAAAAAAACTATAGACAAATTAAATGGCAATTACTAAATAATTAATTTAAATTAAAATCAAAATAAAAAATTCTAAATATTAATAAAATATACAATAGTATCCCAGTGTACTGCAAATAGCACTGCCATCCAGTCAAAGCAATGAGGCATGTTTGTCCTTGAGTTTGGAATGACTTGAAAGTCTGTGTGTGTGATCCTCTGTTAGCAAGTGTTAAATCTGTTCAGAATTTAAAGGCCATTTAGTGTATTCCAGCCTTATTACAAAATTACACTAATTAATCTGTTTTGTTCATTCAAATTGCAATGCTGCATTCAGTATGTTGTCAAAACATCATGTAACACTGTATGTTCACTACAGGTCAAGTCACGTGACCTTTATTTGTATAGCGCGTTATACAATACTGATTGTGTCAAAGCAGCTTTACAGAGTCAAACAGGAATAGTTTGTCAATAATGCAAGAAGACTATAACAGAGTCATTTTCCAGATAAAGTCAGTTCATTGATGATTAAATGATGTCATCATCCAGTTCAACTCTCCTCCAATACAGGACAGACTCTATTTCTCACATTATGAGAATGTCTTTTCCCCTTAAGCAGGTTTTAATCTTTATAACAGTTTGTATTTTCTTGTGAGACAGACATTAATGAGTGTGCTCTGGATCCTGATATCTGCTCTAATGGAGTGTGTGAGAATCTCAGAGGAAGTTTCCGCTGCGTCTGTAACAGTGGCTATGAAAGTGACCAGACTGGCAGAAACTGTCTGGGTCAGTTGACCTGTAATATGCACGGATGAGTATCAGACTACTAACAGCCTCTCTGAGCTGTGACAGTTCAGTGTGTGTGCAGAAGACATTCTTGTGTTAATACAGTGTATTGCTTGTAATTTAATGTCCATGAGGTACATATTTGACTGGTAAATATGTGTTGTTGTTGTTTTTTTAATTTGTAATTTTTTTATTCTGAAAGAACATTGCAGTACATTGTGTAAAAAATACAAATAATCCATGGATTTTTTAGATTTAGATTTTTATGATGTGGAAGTATATAAGTCAGATGTTATCTGATGTTTTTCATGACCCAGCATCCCCTCTGTTTACAGATATCGATGAATGTGTAGTAAACAGTCTTCTCTGTGATAACGGCCTGTGCCGGAATATTCCTGGCAGCTACATCTGCACCTGCCTGGCTGGATACACCTTGAGACACGACACAGAGACGTGTGACGGTCAGTTACATCCATGGGCGTCAGAACCATTGTATGTGGGTGGGACAAGACCCAACCACTTTTTAAGACCAATGCAACTGGACCCACCCCACACCCACTTTTACCGTCATTCAGTGCATATCACTCAGTCTGTTCACTTTTCAGAGCATGGTCAGTCAAATCCATTCCACTTGAGGAATGCCCTATAAATTAAACTCCATTCCGTGTTTTAGCTACAGCCTTGACTTCCACGCTGCTGCTTCCTCAAATCCATTCCACCTGACTCATTCAGAGTCCATATAAATTAAACTCCATTCCGTGTTTTAGCTACAGCCTTGACTTCCACGCTGCTGCTTCCTCAAATCCATTCCACCTGACTCATTCAGAGTCCATATAAATTAAACTCCATTCCGTGTTTTAGCTACAGCCTTGACTTCCACGCTGCTGCTTCCTCAAATCCATTCCACCTGACTCATTCAGAGTCCATATAAATTAAACTCCATTCCGTGTTTTAGCTACAGCCTTGACTTCCACGCTGCTGCTTCCTCAAATCCATTCCACCTGACTCATTCAGAGTCCATATAAATTAAACTCCATTCCGTGTTTTCAGTACTTGCACCTGCTGCATTCCCGCGACACAGCAAGATAAAGCATCTTAGCATCTCTGCCGCTCAGGTGGGTCTGGCTGTGTGCTCACATACTGTCACTAAACAAGCTGCTATTTAATGGAATGTTCATCATTTGTCCACCTGTTGCTTTTAAAGGCATCATGTAGTCTTTGTTGCAGCATTGAATTACAGTTACACTATGTTTGTCACGGGTGCTGGTGCAATACAAAGCACACAACAAAAAAGAATAATCCGATAAGGACTTTACTGATAATTCTGAAGAGGGGTACATCCAAACACAAGCATAACAACATCAAACATTATAGACAAAACAATACTCGTCCAGAACTGAACCGAAACGGGGAGTACTTATGCAAAACCAAGAGAGGGACTAATGACTAAATTAACAGGACACAGGTGAACTGAATGAACTAATCAAGGGAACTAAGGAAAACGTGGTCAAGAAACAAAACTACACAGGAGAACAGGAAATGAAACAAAAGTCCATAATCGTGACAATGTTGTTATAACGCCAACATGTTCCACTACATTTTTTCTGGGGGAGGACCCACACACATTTTTTTTTTGCCCATGGTTACAACTGACTCTTAAATGTCACTTCAGCTCTCATTGTTCCTTCAGCATCTATGTATATGGAAAAGTGTTGTAAATTCCAGAAGCAGGTGTTTCCAGTATTCCACCCGAAAGGAGACAAGCCTTACATGGCCTAATATGTCTGCTGAAGTACATCACTACAGTGTTTTGTACGTGGTCAAGAAACAAAACTACACAGGAGAACAGGAAATGAAACAAAAGTCCATAATCGTGACAATGTTGTTATAACGCCAACATGTTCCACTACATTTTTTCTGGGGGAGGACTCACACACATTTTTTTTTTGCCCATGGTTACAACTGACTCTTAAATGTCACTTCAGCTCTCATTGTTCCTTCAGCATCTATGTATATGGAAAAGTGTTGTAAATTCCAGAAGCGGGTGTTTACAGTATTCCACCCGAAAGGAGACAAGCCTTACATGGCCTAATATGTCTGCTGAAGTACATCACTACAGTGTTTTGTAAAAAAAAAAAAATGTATTGAAAGAAATCAATTATTATACAATTATTTGATCAAAAATACAGTAAAAGCAGTAATATTGTGAAATATTATTACAATTTAAAATAGCTATTTTCTATGTCAGTGGTTCCCAAACGTTTTACTGTCGCGTTCCCCCCAGGGATTTAACATAATTTGGCATAACCCCTCTCTCACAACTTGTGGTCTTGAAAAATGTTTAAAACATGCAATTTTAAACACATTTACCTTCAGAAAATAACTATCTTTTATCAAACACAGCATTAGTATACAAGCAATCATATGTTTTTTAAATAAATGACTCACCGTTTAATGATATGGATGTGCTGGAAATGACTTGCATAATTCTGCGATTGTTTGGTTATATCAGAGAAAGTCTTAAATCATTCTATATGCAGAGTCTGTGTCGATATTTGTTCTTTATGCTGGTAAGTGCTGAAAACCCATTCTTTGCACAGGTACGCTGTTGAGAAGGGCAGTAATGTTTTCAAAGCACGATCTGCTAAGGCAGGATGCTCGACTGCATACAAGGCTATCCAGAAATCTGGCAGTGATTTTTGTGTAAAGTCCATTTTCAAAGCGCCACTCGTAGAGACTTCAATGAGATTATCTCGCTCAGAAACAGGCAGGTGTGCAGAGAATGGATGGCGAATCCAGGTGTTTGCATTGTCCGACTCAGGAAAATACCTCTGCAATTGTGCAGACAGCTCAGATAGGTGTTTCATTCTGTCCATCTCAATATTGACATTAAAAATACCTAAAACTCTGCACACTGATGCATTTTGGCCTTCAGCCTTCCTCAGAGTGTGTCAGGTATCAAAATAAAAAATGTGAACACCTCTTGATACCTGACACACTCTGAGGAAGGCTGAAGGCCAAAATGCATCAGTGTGCAGAGTTTTAGTTATTTTTAATGTCTATATTGAGATGGACAGAATGAAACACCTATCTGAGCTGTCTGCACAATTGCACAGGTATTTTCCCGAGTCGGACAATGCAAACACCTGGATTCGCCATCCATTCTCTGCACACCTGCCTGTTTCTGTTAACGAGCAAGGACCACACCACAACCAAATATGTAAATTAATAGTTTATTGTTCAGAATGTTAGGGATGAGTTGGAAGAAGATGAAAAGGTAAAGGGGATAGGATGATGGTCAGGTTGATCTGGGCGTCTGGAATTGATGACCCGGAGAGACTCAGGATAGGGGTATCATCTCGTTTGTATATTTAGGCCAGACGATTAGGACCCCCCTGATGCAACCTGAAAAGAATAAGGTTAGCTGATTTGATTAAAGGGGACTATATATATTCAGGTTGATCTGGGCGTCTGGAATTGATGGCTCGGAGAGACTCAGGATGGGGGTATCATCTCGTTTGTATATTTAGGCCAGACGATTAGGACACCCTAAGTTGGGAAGAGCTGAGGTAAGCTAGGGCTTGAGGAAGAACTTGATATTGTTGCGGATGTAGGCGTGGTATTCTCGAGATGACCAGCAGCCAAGGGTTCTGATAGTCTCGATGGAGATTCCACATCTGGTTGCTGATGTTGCTGAATCTTGTGGCCAGTTTCCGGTTTCTGTAAGGAAGAGCGGATCTTTAGGAAGTGCTTGGCCTGCGTGTAAAGAGCTGACATATTCGGAAATAGATCCGAAAGAACTCAGGTGGAGTATGGACAGAAGATGTAGATATGAAATGATGTTCCTAATTGGTCAGTTTGCTTCTTCGAAGGGTGAAGATAAGAGTATCTGAGGAGTGGATAGTAATCTCCAAAATACAGGAGTGGATAGAAGGATTGAATGTAGAGGAGTCAGAGCGAGATCTGAGCATCGTAGGAAGCCGAAGAATGCTAGCGAGAACATGAAGTCTGAAGTTTGATCAGTCTCAGTATTTGGATAGCATGATCGTATGAGATTATGCAGAGGCTAAGTAGGTTAGTGGTTAGTGGAAGGCGTTTGGTGGTTTGGCATAGGTTCTTGTTTCGTAAGCCTTTAACAAGCATGGATGTGTGAGAATGAGAGATAGCAGGGCATTTTTGACAGTGGTTAGTTTATAGAAGAAGTTGATTCCTGATAAGTAGGCTTGGAAAGAGCACGTTCGGATCTTTTAAGAAGGAATGAGCGTAAGAAATTAAGTTGCAAGGGCAGCATGTTGGTTGATGGAAGGGAAACTGATAGAAGGAATGGTGAGCTTGGAGCGGTTCCATCCGGTGAGGTATGCTGAAGCACGCTCGGGGCAATGCGATTAAGTATGGCTTTTGAGAAGCATTTGTAAGAACTTTTTTTTGGTCAGTAGTGGGCTGGAGATGAATAAATGTTGATTCTGGGCTAACGCTCTGGATTTCTGAAAAGAGAAAGAAGACAATGAGTTGGCTATGAGAATGAGGTATCCGGTATATGAGCTGATCGGAGGAGGAATTGCAGTTGGGCGGATATTAAGTGAGCCTGCACATGATTGCATAATAACAGCAGCACACGATTTCCCTTGTTTATCATTTTAACTGCCACTGCATTGTCCGAGTAGATGGGTATTGATTTTCTGGACCATTCGTGCCCTCAAAGAATGGCTGCCATGATAATGGGGTATATTTCATAAATCTGGTGGAGAAAGCGCTTGACTGTGGACTGAGGGAACTGAACTCCGGAGGTCATTCGGAGGAAAACAGCATCCACCGTAATGGCCGTCAAAGTATATTGAGGGTGCTGCATCAGTATATAGTTTAAAGTCATTGAGATGAGAGATGTAGTTGTTACAGAGATAAAAGATGCTGTTCTGCGATGGGAGGAATTGATGCCAGAGGCGCATTTCTATTTGCATGCATCA